TAGAGGGCCGCGTCTGGACGCGCGATTACAGAGCCGCATCTGTAATCGCGCATGCAGTACATGTGGCAGAGAGGCGGCGGAGGGAGGGAGCCACAGCACCGGCTGCCGGAGGCTTTATTTAGCGGGGGGCGGTGACGGGCCCCCTGATGGCCACCAGCAGGGGCTGCTTTTAAAGGTAGCAGAGAGGCCACCCTGGTGCTGGGCCCCCCAGGCTGAGGCCCAGGTGCGGTCGCACCGGCGGTAGTTCCGCCACTGGCCCTCGGTGTGCCATACACTTATTGCAGATGGGCTTTCTTATCTGTGTGGTCTGCTCTCAGCCTGGCAGGTGAGGTTCCGTGTCACTGGTTTGGGGGCGGCCGCCCTTTGGAAAGTGCCGCTCAAGGCAAATGGCTTGTTTGCCTCGTGGCAGATACACCCCTGCAGCTGGTCCATAATCATGAAAAATAAACCACAAACACATTTATATGAGAAAATATATTCAGTCTCTTGTTTCGATGATTCACACAGTAATTCTCCAATGGTAAAGTAAAATAAAAACTTTTTAGAGCAAATTTTACTTAGTTTCTACTTTCTACTTATTTTCCAGCTGGTTAGTGATGAATGCTGGTTGGAAGTAGGCACTAATTGGTACAAGGCACTAGTTGGTGGTGGGTGCTAGTTGGTGGTGGGTGCTAGTTGGTGGTGGATGCTGGTTGGTGGTGGATGCTGGTTGGTGGTGGATGCTGGTTGGTGGTGGATGCTTGTTTGTAATGAATGCTGGTTGGTGGGGAGTGCTAGTTAGTGCTGGATGCTGGTTTGTTATGGATGCTAATTGGTGGTGGATCCTGTTTTTGGCAGATGCTGGTTTGTGATAGATGCTGGTTATGGTAGATTCTGGTTTGTGATGAATTCTGGTAAGTGGTTGGTTTTGGTTGGTGTTGGATGCTGGTTTTTGATGGGTGCTAGCTGATAGTAGATGGCTGGTTTGTGATGGATTCTGGTAGTTTGTTGGTGGTGGATGCTGGCTTGTGATGGGCTCTGGTTGATGGTGCAGGCACCCTTTGTGCAGTCCTTGTTGGTCATACAGTATAATGCATGCTTTAGGTACTAGTTAACTTTCTTTAAGTACTACTGTATTGCAGCTTGCTGAATCAGGGCAATTGGCTATCCCTGATCCATATCAGTCTTTTTTGCTTAGTATATTGAAACATAGTGTTCCTTTGTGTTTGTTGTCCTTATCTGAACATTTGCTAATATTTTACCAACTTTACTAGAGGTGTGGTGCTTTATTAAGGCTAAAATTGTCCACCAGCCTTTATTTCAAAGACACAGGACCGCTGTGCAAAACAAAATGGCAAAGGTCCTTATCCGCAGTGTCCTGGTCACTGGTTCTAGCCGAGGAATTGGCCTGGAACTAGTCAAGACTTTTCTCAACAAAGGGAATCCACCAGAACATGTTTTTGCAGCATGTCGGAGTCCAGAAACAGCTCAGGAACTGAAGTCACTGGCTTCCAAACACTCAAATCTTGTTACTGTCAGGATGGATGTAACAGACAAAGCAAGCATTGAAGCTGCCTATGATGTGGTAAAGGAGACCCTGAAAGGACATGGATTGAACTTGCTGATCAATAATGCTGGTATTGCCATCTACCACCCAGTGGAAGAAACTACAGCAGAGGACATGATGAGACTGTATAAAACCAATACAGTGGGACCAATGCTGGTTACTCAAGCATTTGCTCCCTTGTTGAAGAAAGCCGCACAAGAAAATCCTAATGAAAAAATGAGCTGCAGCAAGGCCGCCGTGGTCCACATATCCGCTGGTTTAGGGTCTATAGAAAGAGTTTCAATTGAGCTGTTGAATCACGTTCTAATAGAATACCGCTGCAGCAAGGCAGCACAAAATATGTTAACACGATGTCAGGCGGAGACCTACAAAACCGATGGGATTATTGCTGTGGCTTTCTGTCCTGGCTGGGTCCAAACCGACATGGGTGGTGCAATGGCTCAGCTGAAGCTGCATGAGAGTGTGGGTGGGATGATGGAAGTGTTTGACACCCTGACAGAAAAACACAATGGAATGTTTTTGGATTGGCAAGGACTGCCTATCCCTTGGTGAGTTGGAGGCACCATTAGGAGAGATGAACAGACATAAAATTAGAATTTTGCCTGCCTTTGAATAATGAAATGCACACACTATGATTTTTGTGTCTGTTGGGGTAATGCATAACCTGTACAAATTCTTGTGATTCCGAATGTGGAGCTCCACAAGTCTAGTGGTGTCTATGTGCGTACATACTTTTTAAAAGGCTGGAGAATGCAGCTGGTCCATAATTATGGAAAATAAAAACAAAAGTTTAACAGCAAAATGGATGTTCAGCTCTTTTTTTTAAGAGTCACTTTATTAACTCTGTAAATGTAAAGGTAAATGAGGACATCTTCAGAAGGGGACAGACCAAGATAAAGTTTGGGTGGGATGAATTTTTGGGGAGGGCTCTATTGAGTTTCTGTTTTATTTGTGGGTAGCTGGTTGATGATGGGTGCTGGTTGGTGGTGGATGATGGTTGATGGTGTGTTTGTGTTGGTTGATGGTGGGTGCTGGCTGATGATGGTTGGTGGTGGATGATGGTTGATAGCTGGTTAGTGGCGGGCACTGGTTGGTGGGGGATTAAGGTTGGTCATGGTTGCTGGTTGTTGGTAGTAACTGGCTGATGGTGGATGCTGGTTGGTGGTAGTTGTCAGTTGTTGGTGGTGGGCACTGATTGTTGATGAATGCTGGTTGGTGGTTAATACTGGTAATTTGGTGGGTGCTATATAGAAAATGTAAAAATATTACTTTCCCGGCTTTTATGTTGATTCTTTTACTAAAAGCAATCATAAGGATAAGGAATTCAGGCACATTTCTGACAGACATTCACAACATGCTTGAATGTATTGGACCCAGGCACAGCCAGGCAACTAGCACTTCAAAAGAAGTCCAGCAATGGCAACACCCATACTTTACTCGTAAAAGGTATAGTTTGAAGGAAAATGTATTTGTTTTTGGTATTTATATAGCACTGACAATTTACGCAGCACTTTACATGCACATTCACATCAGTCCCTGCCCTCAAGGAGCTTACAATCTAAGGTCCCTATACCTCACATGCAGGCATACAGAGCTATGTGTGTAGGAGGAAACTGGAGTACCTGGAGGAAACCTACGCAAGCACAGGGAGAACATGCAAACTGTTCAGGTTTGCTGGGAGAGCATTTTTATGCCCAGGTAAGCAGATATCATTAATGGCCTATTCACACTATGCATTGCAGTTGAAGTTCAATAAAACAGACATTTTTACCATGCTTTACCAAAATACATGATACACAGTGAGGTTTCATTATTTTGAATTGCACTCCAATGAACCAACACAACTCATCCCATGTATGCAATACAGTGCCCCACAACACACAGATGTAAACCATGTATGCATTGTAGTGCACAGTGGTAAAAAGTAGGGATGCACCGATATATCGGCCGCCGAAACATATCGGCTGAAAATGGCACTTTTGGCATAATGGTATTTTTCTGCCGATACATCGGCGCATCCCTGCTTTCTTTCCTCCCCGCTGGGTGCTGCGGTGTGTCCCAGCGGGGAGGAGAGAAACTGTGATAGCTGCCCGAGCACTGAGGGACGAGAGCGCTGTGAGCGGCCGGCGTCTCCTCCCACACTGCTCAGCCTCCTATCACAGTCCGGAGGAGTGCTGTGTGGGCGGAGACACACAGCACTCCTGTCACAGGAGGCTGAGCTCTTCTCCCTACACCGCTCGCTCAGCCTCCTGTGACAGAGAGAAGAGCAAGGTACAAACACTCGGCGATCAGTGATCACTGAGTGTTTGTAGATAATTGAGGACATGGTATGTGTACTATATCCCCAATTATGAATGAATGGGAAGTGATCTACATCACCTCCTGTTCATTCATAGTTGTGGTTATAGTAAACATACTATATTCTCAAGTTATCAATGAACAGAAACACCCATAGAGGATTCCTGTTCATTAATAACAGGGGACACCGAAAAAGAGATTGAGGACTCTATTTTAAAAGGGAAATATCAGGGGTCTGTTTAGACCCCTGATATTTCCCCAGAGCCCCTAAAAGTAAAGTAAAAAATAAAATATTTTATAAAAAAATGAATAAATAAAACTATAAAAAATAAAAAGTTTATAAACAAAATAAAAAAATAAAATATTTGAAAAATTTGAGAAAATTAAAATAAAAAACATTTTGGGTTTCGGCCTGACAATTTTTTTTAATTTCGGTTTCGTTTCGGTTTTAAAATATCCATTTTGGTGCACCTCTAGTAAAAAGCAAGTATATGTTTGTGATAATATACATTGCGGTTATTTATTCAAAATAATTGGGCTACCTTCCACAATCATTAACACATGAAATATCACACATGCTGTAACACACCACAAAGCATTGGCAAAATTCAAATGGGCCCTAAAGAATTCTGATGACTAAGCAAGCAAATCAAGGCATGCATCTCGTAAATTGAGCAAGTAAAAGAGAGAGAAAGATGTCACCCATACTGGTGACCTCTTCATTACAGCTTTGATCTGAGGGGGAGAGGAGATCTCTCAAAGGCTTGTCCTGAATAATGAACTGTTGGTGTACATACAAAAAAGGATCGCATACATCACTCATCTGCATTGTAACTCCCAGAAACAAAGTGTCACAAAGCTCACTTGTCTGGCACTAAATAAACTCTCTGATGTATGACTCAGAGACCATGTAGATTAACACACGTCAAAAGCCTGCAGTGTTACTATGGTTCAGGTCTTTTTTGTGGGCTCTGCGTTCCCATTATCCTCCTAGGCTGCCCACTCACCAGCTAATTATAGAGACAAGCAGCTTTGCTACAGATTGTAGGGCAGACTGTGGAGGGGACCCAGGAAGGTACAGAAGTAGGGGAGGATGTCATGTGACCTGCACTTCAAGGGTTATTGAAAATACTGGCTTGACTTAAAGGGTTATTAGAGTTAAATTAAAGAAGAAAAAGCAAAAATTGATATATATATAAAATCCATATATTCGGAGAAAAGCAAATATCTGACATTAAAGCTTACAATTAAATCTAAATGTAGATAGTAAACAGTCGGGGTTAGAGCTTTAAAGCGAACCTGCACTTTCACCATACTCTTTACAGGCGGGACCATAAGCAGCCAGTACTTAACTTTCTTCTGTTCCCATGTCCCAGCATTCTGTAAATGACCAAGGAGGGGGTGGGGGCAGATAAACAGCATTAGTGCCTCCATGTATGAGAGCCACAGCTCTGATATTCGCAGTGAGCCTGAAGTATAATAAGAAGAGTACATTCCTATGAAAGTGGAAGAAAGGGCAGCAATCCTAGATAGCAGTGATAACTAAAAGCCATTTGCCTGGAAAAATAAGTCAAGGCAACTGGACTTGCTGTATTTTTTCTTCTTGAAGACGTTTCCCTGGTCATCCAACCAGCTTTCTCAATTCAGAATGACTTGTACAAAAAATTATCTGGGAATAACCTGGGAATTGACCTTAGGGTTACGTTGGCGGATCCATTTTTGTTTTTTTTCCTTTTAAATAAAAGACAGACCTTTTCCTTTTAAATAAAAGGAGAGACTGAGCGGAGGGGCTACATGACTGGGGGGAGGAATAGTCCCGGAAGAAAGAGTTAAAAAATAAAATGGGAAGATCTGCTCTTATTTGGGCACCCAAAGACCCCTTCTCAGAGACTGGAGACGGCAACCCGCAGATGCAGCAGTGCCGTCCGTCCGTTTTTTTACTACGGGCGGACGGCAAGAGGTTAAAGGATTTTTTCAAAAGTGTGGCGTCTTTTTTACAATTAGAATTGAACCTTTTAGTGAATGGGTAGGGGTATAGGTACCCCTTACTCATTTACAAGGGGGGGGGGGCAGCGCACCCGGATGCCCCTTTGTTAAAGGGGTACCCTGATGTGAATAAGCCCTCCTGCTCGCACCTCCACAACCAGTGCCCTAGGGCTTGTGTGGAAGAGGCCCTTGTCCTCATCGGCACGGGGACAAGGTGCTTTTCCAGGGGCGACCCTGGAAAAACACCCTCCCAGTGCCGAGGACATGTGGCCTGGTATCGCAGGGAGGGGGCGCTTGCCCTGCCAGGCCTATGCTCGGATAAAGGATCTGGTATGGAATTTTAGGGGGACCCATGTTTTTATTCCCCCCCATTTTTGGGGGTGGGGTTCCTCCCTAATATTCCTACCAGACCTTAAGAGCCTGGTATAACTTTGAAGGGGAACCCCACACGCATTTTTGTTTTTTAAATGGGGCCCCTCCTAAAATTCCTACCAGGCCTTAAGGGTCTGGTATTGTTTGGGAGGGGGAACCGCACACTTTTTTTTTTTCTTTATAAATGTCATTTTTGCTGCAGGTGGTTCTATACATCGTACAGATGTGCCACTTTACAGGCAGTTTAAGGGGACCCCCCAGGGCACAATATTTAGAGGAATTTTTCATTTTTATTGTTTCACTTTAAGCAATGTTAAAATCATTGCTCCTTTAAAAACTGTATTTTCTAAAAGTTTTTTTTTGCATTGATACATGTCCCCCAGGGCAGTTCCCGAATCCCCATACACTTTTTATGACCAATAACTTGCATATAAGCCTTCAAAATGGGGACATTTGATTTTCCGAGTTTTGGTCCGATAGATTTTCATTGAGTTCGAAATTCAAGTTCAAACTTTTTCCATGTTTTAAAGTTCAAACTCGAACCGAATTCGGATGTGTTCGGACCATCACTAGTAATGATGTAAGAGTGTAACCGGAAGAGGAAACAGTGAAGAGAAGCAGCTTCAGGAACCGGTGAACACGGAGAGGAGAAAGCCTTAAATAGAAACTGCATTTAAAAGTACCCTAGACAAAAACAAGCACTTAACCCTTGCAGTGTGGAGGGACCCCCACTACAAAAGTAGTCCTATTTGATCCCTGAAGTTCAGCTTGAACTCCACCACCAGATCTGCTATGTGAGATTTTATAAAATAACCAGCAGGTGGCAGCAAAGCACCAGGCCAAGGTGAACGCAATTGTGTGGCACATGACAAGCAATACAAGTCTTTATATCATTTGTAAAAGAAAGCAGGATGTACTTGATTGCCAAGGGCAACAACTTCTCAGGAAATCAGTTT